CGTTCTTTAAATGCCAAAAATTAGCGAAAAGCTGTACAAAAACATCTGTGTTTGCGAGGAAAAAAAAGGCCGGTAGAAATCCGCATAGGTGTTTTTTTTAGAGGTTTTCGCTCATTTTAGACCACACAATGCTTGACCAATTTGGACATCAAACGCTCAAAACTTCTTTCGGAAAGCTGCACTGCAAAAAAGGAAAGCAGATTTGGAATCAATGTTACGAGACGCGTCTAGTCACATATCGTTTTCACTCGCCAGTTTATGTTGGCATCTTTCCCTTGCAAGTTTGAAAACGAAGAATTAAGAAACTTTAAGCACCTCACCGCCAGTGTACGTGGTTCATGGGTTGAATTACCATAAAGTTGCTTTGCCTTCACTGGATGCAAAAGAGCAAAAAGGTACTGGGGGTCGCAATGTATCAGTATATCAAAACTGTGCCTACTGTGTAGTTCGTGCAACCTCAAACCCATCGTTGCACGTCGCATTGAAGATATAGTGCGACGGCTAGCCTTACTATGTAACATCGAGTCTTTTGCGGCTTAGTATGCGTAGAGCACACTATGAGCGCTATTTAACGAATTTTTAAGATAGGACCTGTTTATTTCCAGTAATTTCTTCTTGGCTCTCTCCTTTTTTGGTTTAACTACATACAACGGCAACACTCCTACGATTTGTTGCGTTCTAAAAGGCCTTACAGAGAAGCGACGGATAAAGGTGTCGTCGGCAGCCGCGCGTTGCGTGCAGGCTTACATAATCGTCCGGGCAAAAAGTCGATTTTGAGATTTTGTGCTTACCCGGGCCTATTCGCTATGCTGAATCAGAAAATCACCACTAGAGAGCGCGAAAACGGCGAAAAAGGGGTTTAACGCAGGAGGAAAATCAGCGGGGGGCGGAGCGTTCGCCCATGGTGGATTCTCGCTCCCAGCTTCCGGAGCAATCTTCTCGGTTCCGGTCTCAAATCACGTGTTTGCACTTGACCGGTAGCGATGTTAGGGCGACTAAAGGAACCGAGAAGATTGCTCCGGAAGCTGGGAGCGAGAATCCACCCTGGCGGACGCTCCGACCCCTGCTGATTTTCCTCCTGCGTCAAAGCTCTTTCTCGCCGTTTTCGCGCTCTCTAGTGGTGATTTTCGGATTCAGCATAGCGAATAGGCCCGGGTAAGCACAAAATCTCAAAATCGACTTTTTGACCGAACGCTGCCTTTGCCTTTGAGGACCGGGTATACTTCACGCGATTTCAGTCGCGACACGATTTGGCAACACTTCAACTGTCCATAACTCATTGCAAGAACATTCTGAATGTACAGAAGATAGGGCATTTCATCAATTCACGTAAGTTATAAGCTATGCATGTGCAGTTTGCTAAAGTTGGATCTGAAGGTTTCTGGCAAATTGTCAAGTCGCGTCGCGACTGAAATCGCGTGAAGTATGCCCGGCCCTTTACATAACAAGTAAGGAGTGATTCGACGATGCATGGAAGAAACAAACATCATAGCAAACTTTTCATTTTCATTTTGCGGTAAGCTCACTTTTTTCTTCCGCTCTCTGAGTACGGTCAACTATATGCTATCATTCTTAAGAACCTCTACTCGTGGTAAATTTGAAAACTGGCTCCCAAGTATCTTGCCAGGAAAGTCATTTAACGGAGCTTCAGGTAGTTGGTTCGCAATTCGACGCACTTCTGCGGCGGCAGCTGATGTGAGTGTTCTTTGAATGATATACCACCCATTTTCCATGTTTTACAAAAATTGACTCACCTTCATTGCTTTATCTGAACCAAATTTTCAGGGCTACTTTGATCCGAATAGTGATCCGAGTAACCCAAAAAATCTCTCACTTGCAGAAATCAAGCAGGCCTACGAGAGAATCAAGGCGAGTTTCCAAGAGGCCTAAGTGGAAATATTCGAAATAAATATCCTCTCTCAGGATGGAATCCTGCATACCGAGTGCAAAAAATCGGAATATTTTTCAAAACTAACGGACAGCGAAATTTACCTGAAAAAGGAAAACAAACAGGTGAGATCAAAGTAAGGTGCAACCAGCATTAAGATCCATTTATTTCTGATCAAATCACTTATTGAGACACTGGGATAATGATAAGCTCTTGTAATTGCTTACTGCTCATTTTTTCTGGATTATTCGGGAATACTGGCTGGTAATGCTGAGCAGAGTAGCAAGGGAATGGAAATGAGTTTTTTTTGTTGCCGAGGTTGCTGGAGTTGCCAAGGTTGCCGGCCTTGCCGAAGTCAGAGACAGCATAGAGAGTGCCCGAAACGCGGAGGCTATCGAGATCCTACCACGACCGGCAACGCCGGCAACCTCGGCAACCGTTGCCGGCAACCTATGGCCATTTCCTTACTAGAAATGTGCCATGGTTTGTCCCTGCCAGATTCTGAGAATCGATAATAGTTAGACGCTAGAAGCGGACGAGCCGCGGCCAATAAAGTCACAACTGCGGGGGTAACTGCGGCCGGGTTTTCGCAGCAGAAAAGCCGGAGGATGGACCGCTATGGTAGATTGGGTCTTCTGCTGCCGCGTGAATTGAGGACCTCGGCTCGCTTAGTGTGTTTTGTTGTAATCACACCAAAAACCGCGGGTGGACTGCACAGCGGCTGACCCAAGAACTTTCATTTACAGTGATATGCGGCCGACGCCGGAGCTGCGAATAGTCGGCAGGAGTTGCCACGTAGCAGTGTATAAAGGGCCGCGGCTTGCCGCTCCCAGTGTCTGAGTAATTAGAGTCCTTGCAGTGTATAGTGTATCAACACGAATCTTTAGTCGCGGCAAGAACAAACGACTAATAATCTGCCCCCATTGCTGTGTCCGGTCGCCGGTTCGACTGTGTGACACGTTATAGCCACTGAAAGGCGCTCATTCAGCAACAGAAGTAAGAAGCACAATTTCTTTACAGCATTACACTAGGAAGATTAGATAGAATGGTTAAGCATAAGTATAAAGTTTTGTTTATACAGTGTTTTACCCACCAGCTATACCCATGTACAATCCCTTTATGTAAAAAATAAGAAAACAGATATAGGTGGATGGCGTGAAGCACGTGGTGTGGATAAAGGAGCTGCCAGAAGTCATTGATAAAAATGGAGAAAAAGATTCTGCCTTGACGGCCGAACGATAAGATGGAAAGAACGTGGAAAAAACATATGAGTAAATATCCTGACCTGGCGCGGCCTTGTGTCTAACGAAAAAAGCAATCCACAAACAAAAATAGTGGGCAAGGCGCTGCGCCCCTCTGCGCAGATCATGTTGGTTGATGATTATCAATAAAGACCAAATTGCTCCTTTTCCTTACATCTAAACTTCAATAGGCATCGCTCCGCAAGCCTAACGACTTATGCGTTTTGATCCGTTACGTTAAATTTTGTTCCCAACCTGGGGTTCAGGTATATTTCGTAAAGTTGTAGGGAGGGAAATAAAAAAGTTATGCGTATTTGAAAATACAAAAACCCAACTTTTGGCGGGGTGGGGACGATTCGCACGGCCGTAATGCTCCACACATGGCCACGGCAGCGCGACACACCCTGAGGCGGCTTTTGCATAAGCTAAATAAAGGGAAAGGAAAGATTTGCCGTGCTTGATTTGTTCAAACAAGTCATCAGGGCGGCGCTGGAGTCCGCCCTTCCGAAAACACGTCTCTCTCTGGCGGGCCCTCCCCTTCCGCCTTCCCTCCAACCGGGGAAATTCTGGAATCGTGATATTCACTTTACTGGTTTCTTGTGGGAAAGATGCAATGAACAAAACAAAACTCTGAGTACCGTAACAAGGAGACGCCCTTCTGCAGCTCGCCATAGCATTCTAATTGGCACGCGCTCTGGATGAAGCGCCGCAGCAACGGAGAGAATCAACTGCCCTTAAAGACTCAGTTGCCCAGAATTGGACAAGGTGTGCGAGCGCCCTTACCAAGGGAAAATTTGAAGAAAACTTCAAATTTTACGCAGGAATGTTGAAGCTTTTTGACCTATCTTCACAACGCGAACTCAGCCAATGAGGCGCCAAAAAAGCACGCGCGTGCTTTGCAGTGCTTGAACTACATAGCAATTGTGTAAGGGCTACAATATTAACTAGGCAAGTGACTTAAGTAAGTTCTTCAACCACTTACCGACTAAAAATCTAGAAAACCGGGAGTAGTTGAAAAGTTCATTTTTCAAAAGTTCCAATTTTTCGCGCATGCTTCATGTGATAAAACACTTGAGAGAACGCTCGAAAAAACCCGAGTTTGCGTAAAGGGAAGAACAATAACGTTTGGTAGCGTTGAATCGCCTTAGTGCGTAAAACTTTCAAAAATACCTTCAAAAATTGCGGATAACTCGTCCAATTTGATAAGAGCTTAAAGGCAGTGTTCAGGCAAATTCGTGCACATAGGTTCTTTGCGTGGAAACTGACGAGGAGGTCCTAACTAATGCACTGCCCAAGCGGTAGCGCAAATCATCCACTCACGGCTGAGAAATCCATCTTCAAACCTCCCAATCCCTGCGCGTGACCGTAACTCGCGAGTGACGAAGAACGGGTCCCAGCGAACGCAGTGCTATTCGAAGGAGAGTCATTTGCGGGTTACGGTCACGGCGCAAAGATTGAAGGGTTGGAAATGGATTTCTCAGCCGTGAATGGATGCTTTGCGCTGCCGCTTGGGCAGCACCTTGGTTAAGACCTCCTCGTCAGTTTCCATGCGGAAAACTGTGTCCAAATTTGCTTGGACACTGCCTTTAAGCGGGCGCACCGTTTTCTCGGGGGCAGACCGATTAGTTGCAGGAGGGAGCGATGCAAAAAGGCATACAGCCACCATAACATTATCTTTCTGTTGCCTCTTTCAGCGAACTGGAAGCTTCAAAGAACGAGGAGCACGAAATGCGCTAAAGCGCTTAGCAGAGCAGCAACAGAAGAAAGAGGTCCGTTCTCATGCGCTTTTTGAAGAATGTCATTTCGGAAAATGTATACTGAAACCTCTGATATAGGTTTTTATTGGCTCCAACAGGAACTATGCAACAGCTATGGCTTGCCATGGTAAGCAGCTTGGTATACCAATTACATGTGTGCTGCCACGCTTCATACCACTGTCGACAATTTCACTTTGCAAGGATTTTGGAGCTAAAGTTGTGGTTCAGGTATGGGTAAAAACTGATCTACATTACGAATACAATGCAAGAAATGGTCTAAACTGAGATTTCTAGGGAATAAACAATACGGAATCAAGAAAAGTTGCACTTGAACTTGCTCAGAAAAGTGGTGGAGAATTTATTGATGGACATGATCACATTGATATTATTGCCGGAGCTGGCACCATTGCACTGGAGATTTTTGAAGACGTAATTTTTTAGCACTGCTTGAAGGCAGCAGTACCAGGCAAATGTGGATGCATGAGCTTCATGTGTGATTTGTTTGGAAGCTCAACTGAACCGCTGCAGAAGCTGTATCTCACTTCCAGCTTGCCCACTACCGTGCGAGGAGTCGCTCATTGGTCCATTCAGTGAGAATACGGTAGAGGGCAGGAGTTAAAGAGCGAATTGCTTTGCCATAATCAAGTATAGGAGCTACCGTTTCGACAATGGCCCCGAAACCTTTGTTTGATTTCTACTGAAGAAGCCCAGATAGATACATTTGCCCAGATACTGCATCAAGGTCAACTTGATGATTTGATTTCTGTTTAGGTCAAAGATGTCGATGTTATTGTCGTTCCCGTAGGCGGTGGGGGTCTCCTGGCTGGAATCACAGCAGCAGTGAGAGAACTATCTCCTAAAACGCGTGTTATAGGTGTGGAGTCGAAAGCCTCTCATTGTTTTAGCGTGAGTAATTTCTCCAATTTATCAGAAAGATAGACTAAGGACAAATGTGCAGGAGGCCCTCAAAAATGGAAAACCAGTCAATGTACAGACACGAACATCACTATCTCCTTCACTTGCAATGTCAAGATTTGGCTACAATTCTTTCAATATCATCAAAGGTACCGTCATTAATTTGAAAAAAACCTTTTTGGATAGAAAAATTCAGAAAACAGCAATAGACCAATATGTGGCCTAGGGGTAAATACCGTCAAATACATCTTCGCCTTTTCCTTGAACTCGTTGTTCCTGGGCAGTGTCTGGGCTCTGGGTGTCGGATTTTTTTTGGACGAATGGAGGTCTTATCTAAGCCAGTGCATTTGCCTGAGCTCATATTCATTCGCAATATAATCAAAACTCCTCCCCCCCCTCCCCCAGACCGTACTCTATATCAGACTCAGGGACTGTTAAGCTTGGAAGAGTACGACGTGGGCGAGAAGACTAATTTTTTTAATCCTGAATAGATAATGTTATTAATATCAATTGCTGCTTGGTATAGCTCAGTTGTCCACGTGTCTGGAACGTTCTGCTCTCGTTAGTCAACTTTTCTCTGACATGAAAGGGTCCGAAATTTTTGACATTGTAATCTGTGGAATATGCAACGATTACGTTTTGCCCTTATTTAGGAACTCCCACTGAAGTTGCCAAAATCAAAGAAATGGATCTAGCTCGAGCTATTCTGATAATGCTGGAAAACCATAAGGTTATAGGCACTATTGGACCACTGCAAATTTCAAGTTCCCGACATTGCAGTTTGCGGTAGAAGGAGCAGGAGCATTAGCGCCAGCTGCCGTGATGACTGGCCAAGTCGAGGACATTCAAGGAAAAAAGGTGGTGTGCGTCATAAGTGGTGGTAATGTGGATAGCACAATGTTGGGGCAGAGCATAGATAAAGGTGCGTAAAAAAAGTAGAGTAAGTTTGTAGGGTCATGGATACTTTTTAGGTCTAATTGCGGATGATCGTCTTGCGCTGGTAGAAGTATTTTTGCCTGATCGACCAGGTGGTCTCTGCGAGCTGCTCGAGCTCACTTCAAGTACCGGAGCTAAGACTAAGCATATCTATATGGTAGGTTTGAGGTTATAGAACAACCTGTTGAGTGTAATGCCGAAGAGCACATGGATGACTCTGCCTCTACCACGCCTCCTTTGGAAAGTCATAGTGTAATCTTTACAGGTAAAAAAAGAAAAAAACATAAAATTCTCTTTAACAAAGAGACGTTTCAGACCTAAGACGTGTTGCCCCTGTGCCCCTCATTCTCCTTCTTTCCCTCCCTCCCCCCCCCCCTCCCTCTCGTCTACCGTGTACAAGAAATGAACAACAAATCGATTTTTCAGGAGCACGTTTTCCACAAATTTGATATATTCACTGTCAAAATGAAGCTCGAAGTTGTGACTAGTGGAATGCAGCATTCTGAAGAATTGAGAAAGATTCTTGAACAAAGGTACGGTTAGAGTCAGTAGAGTGCAACGATTAATTCTAATTCCAGATATGGAGACGATCTTTCCTTCCATATGAGAAAAATGCGTGCAGTATGAGTCCATTTGATAGACAATCCGTGTTATGTACATAAAACGTTCGAACGACTTTTCGTCACATAATAAAGTGACTTTTCAAACTATATTTGGCCACAGTAAATGCATAGTTTCACTGTTCAAACCAAAGCTTTTATGAAAACCGTTAAATAAGTTTTAGAAACAGATTATGTTCTACTACACGGAAATATGAGCTGTATTAGTCACTGCCTTTGATCGGCGTTCAATTTTGACGTGAAATCATGCACAAAGAGATAACGTTTATGCATCTCTACGAGGATTTGGAAAAAACTTTGCAACTGAATAAAAATTAGAAATTAGGACATTGATCAAATTGCTTGGAATCTGATGACTTTAGAAGATAGAATGTTGAAGCGATTGAAAAACGAAGAAAGTTTCCATGAAACCGGAGTGAGCTTTGCCTATTTATTGAAGCAAAAAAAAACAGAATAATTTTAGAAAATTTTGAGTGAACTGAGCAAAGTTATAGAAGTTCCAGTTGTTCCAATAAGATGCTGATCTTAGCTCACTTATCAAATCAATGTCATCATAAAAAGGGCTCGGATGGATTTGAGCAACTTTCTTGACATTGAGATATTGGAGTGATTCGATCTGGATGGACATTTCCATTTGATCTCCACAACTTTTTCTGGAAAAAGTTAACTGAAAAGCAGTGGCGGTCCCAGGATTTCGGACCGGGGGGGGGGGGCGACAAAAATTTTTTCCAAATGAAGGTGCGTGGCATCAGCCACGCACTCCGAAAAAATTTTAGGGGTGCTTCTTAGGATTTTTGCGGGTTCCCAACCCCTAAAATCTGGAAAAAGGGAACGTGGCGTCAGCCACGCCCCGAAAAAAATTTTTATAAAACTAATTTGAATTTTTAAAAAATTTTGAAAATCATTATAATTATTTACCAAAATAAGCAAGTCATTTGCCGATATTTATAACCATGTAGGTAAGTTTCAAAAATTTCGCGACCCATTCTCGGGAGGGGGGGGGGGGAGAGCGCCCCCCCCCACCCCTCGGTCCGCCACTGCTGAATAGATACATTAATCAGTAGAAATTGACTTGCGATTCTTCGAGTTCATTTTACTATATCAGCGGGTTGTGATCATAAACTAAGGTCTTTTTTTTTGTTCGCTAAATTCAGTTTTCGTTGAGACTGCGCAGGTGATGTGAAGCACCGCAAAGTGTGTCTTGTGTGGAAGGAACCAGCAGTTCAACATCGAAAGAATTCACTTCCAAGCAGATGCATTAGGAATAGAAGACACATACAGTATGTTTCTTTTATTCCTAATGCATCATCTTGACATCGTCGGGCCGCAGTCATTCTGTCTTTTTTGAGACATATGCACTAAGGCCTCGGACAGAGTTCACGCGATTTGATCGTCGCGATTCAATCGCTACAGGCATGTGTTAGGAGTTCGTTTTTTGTCTCGATTAGTCGTGTTGGAAAACTATCACAACCGAAATGCACGAAGATTGACATGCAATGAACTCGTGACATTTGTCTTCAGCGATTGAATCGCGACGATGAAATCGCGTGAGCTCTGTCCGAGGCCTAAAGAAAATCCTGTCCATCAAGTTCCACTGTAAACTCATGGTTCCATCAATTACAGTTCAGAATCATACACTTGCTGTGCTCATAGATCTCACTGTCACTATAATTCTCATTCCGTCGCGTCAGAGAATTTATTGGAAAATGAAACAAGCTTTCAGTATGAATTTTTCGCAGTATCGGAGTGCCACTCCAAAACCACCAATCTTTTGTTTTTTGGTATATCATTGTAATCAGTCATTATTCTTACTGTAATCATTACATGACTCACATAGATGAAGATTAGTTGATAGTCAAAGTATGATGTACTCTGCCAGCTTTTCACTACAATTACCGTAAAGGGAAAATTTATGTTTACTGGTTTAGTTTCTATAGAAGCTCCCATATACTTCTCCACATGAATTGTTTTCGAGTTATCTGCTTAATTTTGAAACTTATTGAGCTTTACAGTTCCGACCATTTTATCTACCTGTTTATACCTTTAAGTCACTAGTGGAGTCCTTAGAACATTATCCCTACAATGAATTGCCGTTTTCCATAGAATTTCTGTGTGTATGATGCAGCTGTTTAGTAGTATCTATGAAACTCACAAGGGAAACTTCCCAAGTCAGCTCGGCCAACCCAGATGAGTCATATATCACCGTAACGGGCCTGAAACGCTGATTCCAAATCTGCTTTCCTTTTCTGCGTAGCAACTTTCCGAGAGAAGTTATGAGCGTTTAAATGTCTAAATATGTCATGTTCAAAGTAGCTTAAAATCAGTTGAAAGCTGTAAAACAACACCTAACGAAATTTCATTGTCTGTGTTCCGTCCTTGTAATCAATATACTTGATACAAAACTGATAAATCACTTTTATATGTTGTTGTACAGAGTTCGCCAATTTTTAAGCCATTTAAAACATGACAAATTCAGACTTTTAAACGCTCATAACTTCTCTCGGAAAGTCGCTCCGCAGAAAAGGAGGGCAGATTTGGAATCAGCGTTTCAAGCCCGTTACGGTGATATATGATTCATCCGGGTTAGCCGAGCTGACTTGGGAAGTCTTCCTCGTCAGTAGCCGACAAAATAAAGCAAAAGCAGCACATGTCAGTTCCTTTGAGAATAAGAAGTATATAGCGCGATTATGCGATCTCCATTATCTTGGTATTGTTTCTTCCATGTAAGACATCTTCTTGTTTGCATTTTCCGAATATTTATTGCCGGTTTGTTGCATCGCACTGATTGTGACATTTTGGGACCTGTACACGTCTCAAATTCAAGATTTGCATGCACTCAGAAAGAGGAACTCCACTTGTTTGCGGTGTTTCTTTTTCTTTTGTTCCCTAAGACTGACTATAACGTAACAGAAGAAGATAATAAGATGTGAGAGTTGTTCATCACTTTGGTCGCTATAGTCCACGAAGAATAACAACATATGCTATTTCTGAGCAATGTGTGTGCATTTTCAGTATCAGTTTTGATTTCATAATTAGCTTCTTCTCGCAGCTCATATCTTCAACGTTGAAATACTATGTAGTACGTATAAGCAATGTTTACTCCTTATTGTTTATTTGCAGTCATTTATCATTATTGTAGCTACTTTTTTCATTTAAATCGATAGGAAAGATAAAAACTTTCTTTTCAAGGATGCCTTGCGTAAGAGTTTAGGCAACTCTGTTTTTTTATGTGGAAACTGACAAAGAAAGCTGACTTCGTCCTCGCCAAAAATTTCAATTTTTAGCTTTCGTTAAACCGTATTCTTCGCGCACGGGACCCATAAGCTGACTTCATACACTTAGGAGTACGATTAGGGCAAGAGTGAATTCTTTTGCTACGATCGAATCACGTAAGCTGTTTGCATAACGACTTGGTTAGATACCTCCCAACCACTTTCGAATTAGGATCGTAGAAATTCAGATTTTCCTGGAAAATGAGTTTTCATTTCAAAACTTCATTCGTTTTCTCTCAACTTTCTATGACTTATGAGAGCGTTTTGCATTACTCACACTTGACTAGGTTGTATTCGATATAGATGTAAAAAAGTTAATTTTGCATGTGCTTGAGATTTAATATTAACAGAACCAAAAATTTAAACATGAAGATTCAGGCGACTCATTGTCAGTAATAAATCATTTCCTACCCCCCCCCCCCTCAGAAGTTTCATCATTTTGCTTGTGCAGTGTAGCGAATTCATGTAGTTTGTGATACACTAAAATGATACTCAATCTTGATTGGAAATTCACAGCACGCACTAGAGCAAGAGATTTTGACACAAACTATAAGAAAACCTTGACGTATTTCCTTCAAATGCATAAACTTTCTTCATTCCCTAATCTCCGCAAATCCTCCTTTTTCAAGTTTTCTCCACATTCCATCTGAAATGAAAGAAACTGATGAGAATCTGTACCATCAAGGCATTTACAAAAAAAATGTTTTTCCATAATCATGTCTCAATGTGTCCCTAATTTGCACTCTTTCCACTCTGTAGTGGAAGACTTTCTCGCCGCACTGCGAGTCAAAATTCGGTGACCAATCCACTCCACCTTCACCAAATGTTTCTAACCTCCGGCATTACAGTCCAGAGAGGTTTTAAGTAATAGATTTTCATTAAACTTCTAGACGTAATGGATGCTTGATTTACACGAGTCAAAATTTTTTTATCTATGGTAATCACGATTTGTTATACTAGGAATCCTTTTAGAGAGAGGAGCAATAATCAGCAAAAGTATCGGGCCATGCTACGATAAATATTTTTCATTCCTCCATTTAATCGCAGAACTTTAAAAACATATCATAGAGGATAAGTGAAGGTTCAAGCAAAACATAGTATGATGCCATTAATAATTTACTCTACTCATGGTATGAACATAGAGGAAATTATTTGCTAGGAGATCAAAAATTTGTTCTCGCGGATTAGGTAAGGCGAAAATTTTCTTTGAGAATAAGAGATGTAGGTTTTTTTAAAGATACTATGCTGTTAAACTGTAACCATTGAAGCAGTCGGCCAACGTCCTCAAATATGGGCACTCCTGAACGACTATCACAGACAGAATGGCGTTGGTTTCGACGCTGTCAAAAACCAGGGCTTCTTCATAGTTGATGAAGGTTAGAACAAGAGGCAAGCGTGCAAGATTCAGCTGGGGGTCAGGCGTTTAGTTCCTTGATATGCAAGCGAGGATCATCTTGCTGAGAGGCTTACACACCCAGCATGCGTATTTCACGTTAGTTCAGAAGACCCTCCGGTTCGCCTTTCCTGGACAGATGGGCAGTCCGCGAAGTTCTCCAGTGGTCGAGAATTCTTTCCTTTTGAGGGCAGGACATCAGAAGCATTGCAATAATTTCGTGTATGGTGCTAAAACACTTGTAATAAAACTTCGTGGCAGTGGCGGACCGAGAGGGGGGGGGGGTGTGTAGCGAAATTTTTGAAATTCAACATAGGCGTAAAAATGTGCAATGAGTCGTTT